TTACATATTTAAAAAAGTAACTCAGATATTTTGTTGTAAATTTAAAAGGAATGAGTGACTTGTCTTTACTAGCCTACTTAATTGAAAAAAGGTAATCTGATTACGTAACTTTCAATGCGTCTCCACTAATTACTTTGGCTATTCTACATATCGCAGGAGTTCGGAATAATCTTGAGATAAAAATACATTTGCTAAAGCAACCATGCTATTTTAGCTTGCTTCTGAAAGTCTTTGAGCTCTTTTTATTTCTCTGTTAATTGTCTACTACAAAGGTGGACATTCAAAGAAGACTTAGAATACATAATGTTGTTAAAGGGTTAGTTCACCCAAAAATGAAAATTCTGTCAGTATTTACTCCCCCTCATGTTGTTCCAACCCCGTAAGACTTTCATTCATCTTCGGAACACAAATTAAGATATTTTTGATTAAATCTGAGCCCTGGATCACTCCTCCATAGGCTTCTTAAGGGATCGAAACTGGCCGGCCCAAAAGTTATGAAAGACATCGTTAAAATAGTCCGAGTGACTACAGTGGCTCAACCTTAAGTTTATCAAGCGACGAGAATACTTTTTGTGCGCAAAAAAACAAACAAAAACAACGACTTTATTCAACTAATCATTTCCTTCTCTGTATGGCCGTGATATTTCACGTAGTGATATTGCGCAAAGCTTCTGGGTTGCACGTCACACGTATGCTCGCTATTGGCCGACGCTGGTCATGTGTCTGATGCGTGTGACGTAAAACACAGAAGCTTTGCGTAGTTTCACAACGTGAAATATCACGGCCCACAGAGAAGGAAATGATTAGTTGAATAAAGTCGTTATTTTTGTTTGTTTTTTGCGCACAAAAAGTATTCTCGTCGCTTGATAAACTTAAGATTGAGCCACTGTAGTCACTCGGACTTTTTTAACGATGTCTTTCATAACTTTTGGGCCGGCCAGTTTCGATCCCTTAAGAAGCCTATGGAGGAGTGATCCAGCTCTCAGATTTAATCAAAAATATCTTAATTTGTGTTCCGAAGATGAACGAAAGTCTTACGGGGTTGGAACAACATGAGGGGGAGTAAATACTGACAGAATTTTAATTTTTGGGTGAACTAACCCTTTAAGCTAAATTATTGTGATTTATTTTGTTATATTCAGAGCTTGACACTGACAGCCCTTCACTCTTATTTTAAGTAAAAGACCCGCCTGGACTTTCTGTTTTTGTGTTCGACAGAAGAAAGTCATATGGGTTTGGAATAACATAAATAAATGTTAACAAAATTTTCATTTCTGGTGAACTACTCTGGTGAATTGAAGGCATTGTGAACTGAACGTTACTCCCTCGTTTAAGAGACGACAGTTTTCGTCCCTATGACTTCCATTGTATTGTCTGTACATTCAATGGAAATCAAATCTCTTTGGTCACCAAAATTCTTTAAAATATCTTATCTTGTGTTCAGCAGAAGAAAGAAATGCATACAGGTATGGAGTGAGTAAATGATGACAGAATTTTCATTTTTAGGTGGACTATCCCTATAAACTAGCTGTAGGCTATACTGAAAAGGAACTGACCCCAATCCAGTACTCAGTGGCACTCCACTCTTTAGGGAACACAAACTATGACTGCTGAGAATGATAGGGCCACTTGACATCTTCAGATGTGGAGAGGCAGCGTGTCTCAATAATTAAGCCCTTCAGCGGGGTTCAAACACGTGTTTACAGCACGAAAATCTGCGTTGTTTAAGACGCTAGAATTGACGGGAGAGTTTTTCCCTTTTCACGATCACCGTTTCCAGATTCAACTCTCAGCAAAAGATAGAAAGCACTAACCGCCCACACACACTCCAAGAACCCACATATTCACACACGTGCACACTCATGCACGCACGCACACACACAGGGCGCAGATGCAAACGCTCACTATCCTCAAGACAAAGAGATAAAGGCAGTTACACACAAAGAGAGCATGCTCACACATTCACACACAAGTTGAGAAAAAGAAGCCTTTCTCTGTGAATTCTTTTTCCGAATGCAAAAACAAATTTGATTGTCCCATTTCTGAGCGAAATATGACCTGAACATTTCATGATTCACCCCTTTATATGCTCACATAGACACCTGTACATTACATTTTATAACATAATAAATAAAATACAATAAAAAAATAATACAACAAAAATAAAATGAAACAATAGAATTAAAATAAAACAAAACGCACATCACAGAAGACACACGGCAAAAGATGTAACCACTAAAATAATTTCTTACTGTTTTCAGACTTCACACTCACACACAGACTAGACACACATGGCAAGAAAACACACAGCTTTGCCCAAATGAAACCTCAGGTGACTCTCAGCCCGCAGAGGGAGCCTCAGGTGTCCCTGTGCAGACTGCTGTCATCTTCCATGTGAAGGAAGAAAAGAGCTGTTTTTCACCTTCTGCTCTCATTTGCACAGATGAGGAACGTGTATGTGTGTGTGTATAAATAGTCAAAAGTGAAGAAAGCCCCTCTGATGTCTGATAGTGGTCTCTCACCATCTGTTTCTGTGATGTTGGGTGAGAGACAGATTTACCCTTCCTCTGAAAATGAATCATTTGACCGCTGGGAAATCTGTATTTTTTCCTGGCTAGTTGAATCGAGACTTGTGTTGACCTCATCTAGCTTACATTTATTACACTGCACCACACTGTAGATATCTGACCTTGTTAATGTCACTTTTGTTTGGTCTGACCTAAATAACAATGACATGAGTCATGACATCCCAACCCTGACATCCAAACCGGAAACAGAGCAGGCCCAAAGCACGCTCTCTACGCAAGTACATGGACTACCGTTCAAAGGTTTGAGGTCAATAAGATCTTACTTTTTTTTTTTTTTTTACTTTTATTCAGCAAGGATGCATTACAGTATCAAAAGGGACAGTAAAACGTTAATACATTGTTACAAACATTTCTATTTCAAATAGGTGTTGTTCTTTTCCTGTTCACCAAAGATCCTGAAAGAAAAGATTATCACATTTTTCACAAAAATATTAAGCAGCACAACTGTTTTACTGTTTTAACATTGATAATAATAAGAAATGTTTCTTGAGCAGCAAATCAGCATATTATAATGATTTCTGAAGGATCATGTGACACTGAAGACAGAGTAATGATGCTGAAAATTCAGTTTTGTCATCACAGGAATGAATTACATTTTAAAATATATTTAAATAGAAAATTATTTTAAATTGTAATAATACCTCACAACATTACTATTTTATTGTATTTTTGATCAAATAAATGCAGCCTTGGTAAGCAAAAGAGTTAGTCACATTAGCGAAATTTGTAGGGAAAAAGTTTTCAAATTATTTTTTATTTTTTTGGGGGGTATTTGGGGGGTCCACTGTCCATTATCAAGTGTAGCGATGCATCAAGAACCGCTCATACAGAATTCACTTTCAAACCAATAAGCCACTTTCTGTTGGTCAACACACCAAATGTGATGAACAACTTGAAACCAATGCGAAATCTTTCTCCGAGCGGGAAATTCCTGATCACATGGATTACAATTAAAATGTTGGATTTATCCCTTCCCTACCCTGCTGAAAAAAGCTTAAAATCCCCCCAAAAATCCAAAATGGTCTCAACTATAGTTTAAATGAATAATTCTAGTGTGTAACTGACACAACCTGGTTACGCAGTTTTTGTTGCAGGTAAACCAGCCTGACCGGTGTGACCTTGGAAGGTGACCAACCACGACCAGCATGAATCTGCGCAAAACAAACCAATAACTAAACTAATATTAAATACAACTACTTCTAAAGTGTTACCAGTTGAACCAGTTACAGGTATAGTTCACCCAAAAAAGAAAATTCTGTCATCATTTACTCGCTCTCATGTCGTACCAAACCCATTAGACTTTCGTTCATCTATGGAATTTTGATGAAATCTAAAAGATTTCTGTCCTTCCATTGACAGCTACGCAACTACCACTTTGACACTTCAAATTGTTCATAAAGAGATCGTAGAACTAATCCATATGAATAGAGCCGTTTAGTCCAGATTTTCTGAAGAGACACGATCACTTTATATGATGAAAAGATTGAGGCTTTTATTCACATTTAAACATTGATCACGAACATAAACAGAAGCTCAACCGAACCGGCTTAATACGTGAGAACAAACCTCTTGCAGAAGCTTAAACGTGCTGTGAGAATGAATGAGATTGAACACGAGAATGAAGCTCATTGGTTCTCGCACGTCAAGTGAACATGCTTGAGCTTCCGTTCACCACAACTGATGTGTTCGCTGATGAATGTTTATATGTGAATAAAAACCTAAATTCAATCTGTTCATCATATAAAGCGATCGAGTCTCTTCAGAAAATTTGGACTAAACCACTTAATTCATAAATATTAGTTTTACGATCTCTTTATAAACTTTTTGAAGCGTCAAAGTGGTATTTGCGTAGCTGTCTGGAGAGACAGAAATCACTTCGATTTAAAAAATATCTTTCTTTGTGTTCCGAAGATAAACAAAAGTCTTAAAGGTTTGGAAAGACATGAGGGTGAGTAAATGATGACATAATTAAAAATTTTTGGGTGAACAAACCCTTTAGGATAATCTAGGCTGATAGTCGTAATTCTTATATCACAATTATTTCTCTTACATTGCAATGAGATTAAAAAACAAGCATGGAGCCATTTGTCTACAGATTTCAATATGAACTCAATAGCTTCTATACACATACATTTTATAGCTACTGTATATACTTATAAATGTATGTAAACAGTTGTCTTATTATGTATGTTTATGTTTCTCCTAAGACATTACTTTAGTAGCAATTTTTCTCATTTCATTATCCAGATTAACACATGGCAAATAAGTTAGTGAAATATCCAATGCATAAGATCACAACACACTGACACGCATTCACACTCATTAACGATCCCACACGCCGACACACTGACGTACACACACGTGTGGCACCTCAGAGAAGTGTGAGTTTATGAATGGCAGTAAAACTCTTACTGTGACAGTAGGGATGGCGGTGACCAGAGAATACACCAGCACCGGGGGAGCTTTGCTGTCGTCTTCAGGTCCTGGATACGGCTTGGAGAAGGCTTTATCAAAGCAGAAGAATCCTTGAACGTGCACCGGGAATGTGTCCGTATACTCAAAGTAATATGCCAGGAGAACCGTTCCTGCCATGATCACCAGCTGGAAATAGAACATGATTCCAGTTTAGAATAGAAAATCCGTTCTGTTCTAATAGGTGGATGGTGCGGTTCTGGAATAAAACACAAGCTGCAGTCGGAATCTTCGGCTGAGTGAAGGAATAAAAAGAAGAAAATAAAAAAGACAATTCTCCCCCGTGAGAGAAGTCACAGGAAATTTTGTGGAGTGAATGAGTGAAAGCAGCATGAAAGGATATTGTGAGAACGGCTAGAATCCCTTCAGCTATGCCTATCTATAGAAATAAAAAAAGAGGCAAGGAAGACACAAATAAAGAGAGGCATTTTACGGAAAAGAAAACAAGAAGATGAGAATGATCAAGGGAGAGAAGAAAAATAAGGGGAGGAGGAAAAGAGATGGCAATGTTGTAGAGAGAGAGGGGGGGGCTGGAGAGATGGGAGAGAGAGAGAAAGAGATGGGAGAGAGAGAGAGAGAGATGGGAGAGAGAGAGAGAGAGAGAGAGAGAGAGAGAGAGAGAGAGAGAGAGAGAGAGAGAGAGAGAGAGAGAGAGAGAGAGAGAGAGAGAGAGAGAGAGAGAGAGAGAGAGAGAGAGAGAGAGAGAGAGAGGGAGGAAGGGGGGCGTGTGCATCTGTGCTCACAGCGGGAGAGGAATACATTGCTTCAGTACAAGTAATGCATGCAGTTCTTTAGAATTTTGGGCAGCAAAGATAAATAGCATTAGATTTATTAAAATAATTTATAGAATGGCACTTTCAGTTAATAGGGTACAAAATAGGGTTTTAAACTCAAAAATTATATTATTTTTCTTTTCAACAAATTGTAATGACATGCAGAATCTTTAGAAAACTCTGACGGTCAACCCTAAATATTATAGCCGTTTATACGTTTCTGTATTTTCGTTTGCTATTTTTTATTTATTTTCTAGCAATACACAATGCATAAATATCAAAATAAAAAAAGTTACTAAAAATAGGTTAAATTTTACTTTAAGGTGTTCGTGTTACAGTGTAATTATACATTTAAGTACAAATAATTAACTACATGTATACTATGAAGTGTGGTTTAGGGTTAGTTAGTTGCATGTTATAAGTGTTAACTAAAAAATATCATGCTAGAATGGGAATCAGGTTTCCATATTTAGCCTAAACGGTTGGAGTTTGCTAGTTTGGGACCGGCTGTGGGTTTACATTTGACAAACTCAAATTTCCCATTGATACATTCTTTTTTTTATTTGATTTACAACTGAATCTAATCTAATAGTTCTTACTATAAAAAACACGGTGTTTTGTGGCTCTAATGCTTAAAAAAAACCTGAGACAAGTGTATTCGTGGAAAGTATTTGCATCATGCATGTTTAGGTGCAGCTGTGTGAATCAGCAATGACATACAGTATTGGATTCATAACCATAATGTGCTATGAAAGATTAACAGATTATAGTTCAGCGCAGACTTATACTGTAGCAGCTGATGTTCAGATTTATCAACTAAACATTTCTGTCATTCATGTTATTCTTTTTGTTATGGTTGCAATATTGCTCACATTATCAGTCAACACGGATCTTCTTGGCTTCTGAAATCATCTAGTTTTTCAACATATACAGGTCCTTCTCAAAATTAGCATATTGTGATAAAGTTCATTATTTTCCATAATGTAATGATAAGAATTAAACTTTCATATATTTTAGATTCATTGCACACCAACTGAAATATTTCAGGTCTTTTATTGTTTTAATACTGATGATTTTGGCATACAGCTCATGAAAACCCAAAATTCCTGTCTCAAAAAATTAGCATATTTCATCCGACCAATAAAATAAGTGTTTTTAATACAAAAAAAAAAGTCTACCTTCAAATAATTATGTTCAGTTATGCACTCAATAGTCAATACTTGGTCGGGAATCCTTTTGCAGAAATGACTGCTTCAATGCGGCGTGGCATGGAGGCAATCAGCCTGTGGCACTGCTGAGGTGTTATGGAGGCCCAGGATGCTTCGATAGCGGCCTTAAGCTCATCCAGAGTGTTGGGTCTTGCGTCTCTCAACTTTCTCTTCACAATATCCCACAGATTCTCTATGGGGTTCAGGTCAGGAGAGTTGGCAGGCCAATTGAGCACAGTAATACCATGGTCAGTAAACCATTTACCAGTGGTTTTGGCACTGTGAGCAGGTGCCAGGTCGTGCTGAAAAATGAAATCTTCATCTCCATAAAGCTTTTCAGCAGATGGAAGCATGAAGTGCTTCAAAATCTCCTGATAGCTAGCTGCATTGACCCTGCCCTTGATAAAACACAGTGCACCAACACCAGCAGCTGACATGGCACCCCAGACCATCACTGACTGTGGGTACTTGACACTGGACTTCAGGCATTTTGGCATTTCCTTCTCCCCAGTCTTCCTCCAGACTCTGGCACCTTGATTTCCGAATGACATGCAAAACTGAGCAACAGTCCAGTGCTGCTTCTCTGTAGCCCAGGTCAGGCGCTTCTGCCGCTGTTTCTGGTTCAGAAGTGGCTTGACCTGGGGAATGCGGCACCTGTAGCCCATTTCCTGCACACGCCTGTGCACGGTGGCTCTGGATGTTTCTACTCCAGACTCAGTCCACAGCTTCCGCAGGTCCCCCAAGGTCTGGAATCGGTCCTTCTCCACAATCTTCCTCAGGGTCCGGTCACCTCTTCTCGTTGTGCAGCGTTTTTTGCCACACTTTTTCCTTCCCACAGACTTCCCACTGAGGTGCCTTGATACAGCACTCTGGGAACAGCCTATTTGTTCAGAAATTTCTTTCTGTCTTACCCTCTTGCTTGAGGGTGTCAATGATGGCCTTCTGGACAGCAGTCAGGTCGGCAGTCTTACCCATGATTGCGGTTTTGAGTAATGAAACAGGCTGGGAGTTTTTAAAAGCCTCAGGAATCTTTTACAGGTGTTTAGAGTTAATTAGTTGATTCAGATGATTAGGTTAATAGCTCGTTTAGAGACCCTTTTCATGATATGCTAATTTTTTTAGACAGGAATTTTGGGTTTTCATGAGCTGTATGCCAAAATCATCAGTATTAAAACAATAAAAGACCTGAAATATTTCAGTTGGTGTGCAATGAATCTAAAATATCCATCCATCCATCCATCTTCTTCCGCTTATCCGGGGCCGGGTCGCGGGGGCAGCAGTCTGAGCAGAGATGCCCAGACTTCCCTCTCCCTGGACACTTCCTCCAGCTCTTCCGGGGGGACACCGAGGCGTTCCCAGGCCAGCCGGGAGACATAGTCTCTCCAGCGTGTCCTAGGTCTTCCCCGGGGTCTCCTCCCAGTGGGACGTGCCCGGAACACCTCCCCGGGAAGGCGACCAGGAGGCATCCGGAACAGATGCCCGAGCCACCTCAGCTGACCCCTCTCGATGTGGAGGAGCAGCGGCTCTACTCTGAGCTCCTCCCGAGTGACCGAGCTTCTCACCCTATCTCTAAGGGATCGCCCAGCCACCCTGCGGAGAAAGCTCATTTCGGCCGCCTGTCTCCGGGATCTTGTCCTTTCGGTCATGACCCAAAGCTCATGACCATAGGTGAGAGTAGGAACGTAGATTGACCGGTAAATCGAGAGCTTTGCCTTACGGCTCAGCTCCTTCTTCACCACAACAGACCGGTACATCGACCGCATTACTGCAGAAGCTGCACCGATCCGTCTGTCAATCTCCCGTTCCATCCTTCCCTCACTCGTGAACAAAACCCCAAGATACTTAAACTCCTCCACTTGAGGAAGGATCTCTCCACCAACCTGAAGTGAGCAAGCCACCCTTTTCCGACTGAGGACCATGGCCTCGGATTTGGAGGTGCTGATTTTCATCCCAGCCGCTTCACACTCGGCTGCAAACCGTCCCAGTGCATGCTGAAGGTCCTGGTGTGAAGAGGCCAACACGACAACATCATCCGCAAAAAGCAGCGACGAAATCGCGTGGTCCCCAAACCTGACACCCTCCGGCCCCTGGCTGCGCCTAGAAATTCTGTCCATAAAAACTATGAACAGAACCGGCGACAAAGGGCAGCCCTGCCGGAGTCCAACATGCACCGGGAAGAAGTCTGACTTACTACCGGCAATGCGAACCAAGCTCCTGCTTCGGTCATACAGGGACCGGACAGCCCTTAGCAAAGGACCCCGGACCCCATACTCCCGGAGCACCCTCCACAGGCCGCCGCGAGGGACACAGTCGAATGCCTTCTCCAAATCCACAAAGCACATGTGGACTGGTTGGGCAAACTCCCATGAACCCTCCAGCACCCTGTAGAGAGTATAGAGCTGGTCCAGTGTTCCACGGCCTGGACGAAAACCGCACTGTTCCTCCTGAATCCGAGGTTCCACTATCGGCCGTATTCTCCTCTCCAGTACCCTGGCATAGACTTTCCCAGGGAGGCTGAGAAGTGTGATCCCCCTGTAGTTGGAAAACACCCTCCGGTCCCCCTTCTTAAAAAGAGGGACCACCACCCCGGTCTGCCATCTAGAGGCACTGTCCCCGACCGCCACGCGATGCTGCAGAGGCGTGTCAGCCAAGACAGCCCCACAACATCCAGAGACTTGAGGTACTCAGGGCGGATCTCATCCACCCCCGGTGCCTTGCCACCGAGGAGTTTCTTGACTACCTCGGTGACCTCAGCTAGGGTGATGGACGAGTCCACCTCTGAGCCCTCAGCCTCTGCTTCCTCAATAGAAGACGTGGAAGGAATACTTCGAGGATCTCCTCAATCTAAAATATATGAAAGTTTAATTTTTATCATTACATTATGGAAAATAATGAACTTTATCACAATATGCTATTTTTTTTAGAAGGACCTGTACATGACATGGTATTACGCCAGTGAATTCCACTCACTTATTTGTAGGGATTCCAAACTCGCAAAAAATACACAAATCTACATACAGTTGCTTTAACACTATTTAGTGTGTAAGGCAAAAGATTTTTAATAAAATAAAACTATTTTATTTTTAAATGTTTGTTTTTCATCATACATGTTTTCATCAGCCAATCTGCATGACGCCATTCATCAACA